TACAAATAAATCACGTCCGTAAACCACAGGCCACATTGTTGTATTATAATCCTTTTATATTCAAACGATTTACTAAAATATATAATAAATGGAAAATTAAGCCAAAAGTCACACTTCTAAAACGGCAATACCGTTACTAAGAGAGTAACGTCTATTGTAATGGCTTCGATGTTTTTTAACTACACAATATCCACCGTGGTAACAAACAGACAGTCACAAGTGCACAAAATGCCCTTCTTTTTTGTTCTTAATTTTACTTCTTCAACAGTTTTTAGTTTAGAAGGAAATATTGTAGTATTGTAAAATATTGTTAAAAATAATTTGCATAGTTCTAACCCGAATATTAAACTAAAATTAAGCAGGAATTATAAAACCCTTAAAATCTGATCAATTGAAAAGCTTCTCAAACATTTTCAAGTCTCAAAAACACCCGCCGATAATTTTGTATTTATGAATAATAAATAGTAACGATAACTTATGAAAATCGTTTATCTTACAAATTCTTGGAAAATACCCTAAAATGTTTATTCGAACGTAGACATTCTAATATCACATTATTATCATAATATATTGACATCTCTTATAATAATTTGATATTTACATAATAGAATTTATTTATTTTCATAATATTTAATACATATTACAGTTAAAAAGGTATAAGTTTGATAGTTGATCTTATCGCTATCGATCTTTCTAAGATAGTTAATCAAATTGAAGCAAAGATATAAAAGATACCATACATTGGGAAGCTTTCTTTTGAAAAATGAACGTTTAAAGACGAAAGTAATAGTTTGTCTTTTCCAAGCATTTTGTTTTCTCGACAATGGCAATCCTAGAGCTCAGTTAAACAATACGTCATCATTCATTTCTTATAAGAAAAGAAAATGAGCAAGCCCCACCTGAACGCTACGCCATTGCTACGGCGTAGACACGAACGTTGCGATAAAAAAGGCGGCAAAAACGCTTGCGCCTAATGTCGGTATTAGAACTAGGGTAGGCAAACTTTTATCTTTGATATATTTTTACCTTTTTACATCCTGTTGTTATGGTAACTGTAGTGTCAAGTTGCAATCGTTTTTATTTATTAAATCATCTATTTCCTAACGCAGTATAAAAGGTAGCTTAAAGATTGTTTTTATTTTAATAGAAAAATATTTGTTAAAATGTAAATAAAATAAAGGCAGCCTTTTGTGACAAAATTCTACGAAGAGTAAATTTTGATTAAATATGCATTTTTCAGTTAACAGTGAATTCATTTCCGGTTTGTTAAAATGCAGTATTTTTTGGAAGCAGCAACCCTAAATAAGAGACTAAGATAAACGATTCACTCTAGTTTCCCCTTTTGATAACGAAACACGGAAACAATACGCTCATATTCGGTTGCTAAAATTCAGATCGCGATTCGGCAAAATTTTGGTTCTTTCAGAATCACTGTTGCAGAACTTTACTGCAGCGTCCATTTTGGCATCACGTACTTATACTGTATGTACCGTACGAGGCTTTCAAAATTGTATATCAGCCTTTTTTATCGGTTAAATTTTTGAGAAATGTATGTATCTTAGCTTCCAGCCCTGCGATTCTGTAACTCAATTTAAACTCACAAGCGGTTTTCGCATCAGCGGTCGCTCTCAAATCAGTTGTGAAGCAGTCATTTTATGATTTGGCATTTGAAAGGGACCGCCGATGCGAAAACCGCTGTGTGAGTTCGAAAAGTGAGTTACAGAATCGCAGGGCTGGCCCATAAGAATATTTCAAACACAGATTTTTTAGATAAATTGTGTTTTTAAAGCTAAATATTACCAGATAGATCTATGCTTCGCTGAAAAAAAAAGGTTATATCATAATAATTTAAATCTCCTATAGAGTAAGTATTTTATTATAACCTTGATTTATATTTTAGTACACTCAAAATATAATATTTTATTACTTTGTCAATCTTGTTAATCCCTTTTATGCTTTAATTAAAATATTTCGTCGGATACTAAGTTTTAATTATTCAAATATTAATTCGAAACAGCGGTCAATGTAAATACAATTATCATATACTTAATAAGTTTCGAGGACTTTATTGGATACGTTTTAATAAATTAATAGAGTTAGGAATTTGATAAAGCTTAAGGAGAACAGATAGCATCTGTTATAATAACAGAATCTTTTAAATAGGTTAAACTATCTATCACGTTTAAACTAATGTTTGTACATATTTTAATTATAATTGTATATGAACTTTTTACTTTTTTTATGTAATAGGAGGCAAACGGGCTCCTGCCCGTCGTCCGTGAGCCTCCTGGCTCACCTGATGTTAAGTGATACCGCCGCTAATGGACACTCATACTGCCAGAAGGGTCGCAAGTGCGTTGCCGGCCTTTCAAGAATTGGTACGCTCTTTTCTTGAAGGACCCTAAGTCGAATTGGTTTGGAAATACTTCAGTGGGCAGATGGTTCCACATAGTGCCGGTAAAAACTGCCTACGAAAACGCTCCTATATAACGCTCGGTATTTTGTATTTTGCCTTGAAGTCCGACAATGAAACTAATACTAGACCGAACAAGTCCTCTGAACACTCTCCATGGTAAATGCGGTAGAAGATGCAGAGAGACCCCACATCTCTACGCAACGCAAAGTAAACAAAGGAATGCTTAATGCTCTTGTCATTGAATGTTCCACTTAATTCCATTTTGAATGTTACTTAAAAATTAGTATGGTTTTGTTTGTACCGTATGTGTAATCGTAGTTAATTCAAAACTTAAACACATTTTATTTTTAAATTTAAAGTTTAAATAAGTTTCATATAGATATATTATATCCGTATTAATTCCAAATTCCATCAGCATCACCTTGATGACTGGAAGTCTTCTATGGTGCGCTTCAAAAGGCATTTTCTTTTACGAAACTACCGAACTGTGGAATTGACTCCCGTGGTCTTCTTTGGGAGATACGACCTACAATTGTTGAAAGAAAGAGTATACTCCTCCCTAAAAGGCCGGCAACGCACCCATTAAAATGGCTGTCTATGGGCTTCGATTAGTGCCCTTTTTGGGCGTCCCGTAGGCTCGTTTGCCCCCCTTTCCTATAAAAAATATATTTTGGGACAGAACCAATTTTTTGTTCCTAATTTCGTCACGAGAGGTCCTCTCATTACTTTTTTGCACCAAAGGTTGTACTTGTTTAATCTCAGAATAAATTGTATACACCAAATATTCCTTTTATCACAACATCCACGTACATTCCAACAATAATTATTGTCATCATCACTATCAAATAGCGGTCGACTTTTCAAAGGTTTAATTTCATATAATCACTTTTTACGGCATTATACAATCATGATACAATATCAATTATTTGTTTATAACTTAATTTCAATATCTACACATCGCAGGCAACATACTAACCTACATTGGAGAGGAAAATTGTAAAATACAATGGACTGTATCGGGCAATCGTTTGTGATAAGTCTCATTTTGTGCTGGTTCGCCCCACTCATTTGTTTTTGCTGTTTTCTCGTTTTCCTTATGAACTGCGGGGTGTTTGTTGAGCTTTTCGTATTCCTCTTTGAAATGCTACAATTGCAGGAATCAATAGTTAGATATTGCAGGAATAATATAGATCGTTTTATAATCACATGATTAATTTAATGAAGACGAACCTTTAGTCCTATTATTTAATTAATTATAAAGTTTAACAAGTGTCTTTGTATGAAAAAGAAATAACGTTAAAGTTTAGAGTATATATTATATATTTTCCAACAATTTTCCCCTCAATCAATGTAGGTTATCGCGTTGCATAGTACAATAGTTCGACGTAGAGTGTCCCTCACTTCCGGCCTCACGTTTACTCAAGTTCCGTTCGTAAAGGTGTTTTTAGCCTTCAACTTTGACATATACCGTGTGTTTTATGCCTTATTTTACTGTTTGTTCTGTAGAAAGTGCATAATACAAGTCAGGTGCAGCTTATTTTATGGAAAAGCGAAGCATAAAAACTTTATTAAGCGCCCATTTTCGACACCGACTATTGTGGTATAGTATTGTATTGTGATTAGATTTCTGCGTCTGATTTATTTATAATTTTTCTATAAGCTAATAAGTCAAAACTTGGGCGTCTTTATCGCTTTCCAGCGATCTCTTCAAGGCAACCACTGTAAGGAATAAAATAAATTAAAAATGGTGAGCGCAATAAGTGCAAAAATAAATAAGATATACAATAACTTAGACAATTGAGAAAACAATGCAATTATAGCATATGTACTAGCACATGAAAAATGGTAATATTTTATTACGGAAATATGTGTATATTTAAAAATATTAAGTAAAAGTTACGGATAAGTAGATGACAAATTTCTTAGAAAATGAAAGATACTCCGCCGCAAGGCTACACTATATTCAAATTTTCTTGATTTGCTTCGCATGAAAAAAGGAAGTAAGAAGTATAGTTAATTAAATAATTCACCATAGCTTAATATATATAATATGGTGTGAGATCAGATATTGATTGAGCTATTACAATTTCTGGAGAAGCATATCCACATTTACTAAAAAACTAGACACACATCGAAATTAAAAGTAATTAATAGTAGTTAATGATTTGACCTACATTTAATAATCCTTAACTATATTTTAAATGTAACTTTAGCAGACATAAAGAAAATGTTTATATAATAAAGTAAAGCCCATTTTTCTTCAAAAATGCGTATTGTTTATACACTTTTTTGATTTAAAAATATGAAAAAATCGATATAAATAACTAATATGATTAAATTATAAATGAAGATTTAGTCTCACTTGGTCGTTACCTTACGACTAATAGATAGATCCAATAGCCAGCCTCGACATGATGTAATAATTTAACGCAGCTTATTTACTTATCATACTCAAACTTTAAACATAAGCACAATCAGCCGGCTTTAACATAACTAAGTGATTTGTATTCACAGAAATTATTCGTAAATGCGATTGACAGTTGTGATAATAAAAATGTGGCATAGATGATAATTGGTGATCAAAATGGCGATGGTGATATCTCAGACTACTAAGGCGGCAATTGGAGGATTTTTAGCTTTGATGATATTGGGGGCTGTACTTGTTGTGGGGGCAGCATTTGGATGGTTCGATCCAAAGAGGGAGGATGAGGACACGCCAGCGAAAATCAGCGCGCGTCTTCAAGGGCGAACTTCATATGTTACGCATCGAGCTGTAAGTATAATTTAGTATATTATATATAGTATTCATTTACATTTTTAATTATTACAATTTATGTGTTTTATATACATTTTCTACCTCTGTACGTCAAGCGCTCCAATATGGTTAGAAGTGTGTAGTTGGATTACCCTGAAATAAATAAATATATTTTTAACATTTTATCAGATTTTTGAAGTTCGATTTAATTGTTTTCAATTTCTAAAACTATATATTCCATTGAGAAGCCTACGTCTACTTATTTAGTTTATGTTAACAATAATCTTTATTTCTTCTCTCGCATTACATACAAGGTTATTATGATTAACTAAGATGATAACATTAGGAAGTGTATGGAGACTGGTCTCTTACAGGAGACCTGAGACGACCCCCCTTATAATAAATAGAAGAAATAAGTTTAGTGCTAAAAAAACTTGAAACGAGTAAAAATAAATTTGGTGTGTGTTTGTTGTGTGTGTGTATGTGTGAGTGTGTGTGCGTATGAGCTCTCTCTCTAATTGTGTGCGTGCTGGATGTGTGTATATGTGTGGGGGAGGGGTTTTACAATAACAGTTATTTATCTTCTTTTCATCATAACTCAACGTCTTCAGCAGTAGTACCAATTTTTAACTTTTATGATAACTCATTATTGAAAATAAATAATGGTACGAAATGTTGTTTGATAGATGGCACAGTTTGTTCACATTATAGTAAAAATGTCCAATGTAAGCACAGGTCAAGACATCATGGGTCAAATACTCATTGACAAGTCTAGTCGAGCTTATCTATCATTAAGTATGTCTCGAGTCGCCCATACATGCAAAGCCACAAAAGCGCTTTAATGGGGACAGTCTCGAACCTATTTAGAACCGACAGGAAAATATCGTTTGCGTATCTCTGATAAGTTGGAAAATAATTAATAATTTCGTGCCCCATTTACACCCTGATTCGAATTTCCAACTCTTGTCAGCGGAAATGATATTCATTACTTTCCATGGACAACTTATGACTCGTAACAGTTAAGAGTGGTATTTTGAATATAGAACGGAGAAGTTTTGACCTCCTTTGAAACTCCTGTGGACCCGGAAATTTTTCAGTAAACTCGTTATAAAAAATATCATACGTAAATTTATGACCGAAAAAGTTACCGATCCGAAATTTTAATTTTTAAAATCGTATGACGTTTCTAGGATTTTGCTAAAGCAATTGGTATATAGGTACTATAACACAACGGAAGAATATACTTATCAGTTTGAAAGTATAAATATAAATGAGGCGGTGTACCGGTTTTGTAAGATAACGCAGAAAAATTATCCTGCAACATGGTCGTAAATTTGTTAGTATGATTTTTAAGATTGCTAAATGCATTGCATGCATGCGATTCTTAGATCGGTATATTTTTTAACCGACAGTTAGTTATGACCCTAAACCAGATATTAACAATAAGGAATCATAGACACTGAAGTTTACCTAATTATCTCGAAACTATTGTGTTCCGTTGGAGATATTTAATTTAAGTTACTTTAATTGTTCGAAATACATCGTCGCTTCAAACGTATTTAACTCGAAACAATTGCAACAATCTAATGAAATATAATAACTTTTTCCTTTATAAAACGATATCAATCTAAGTATTTCGATTTTAAAGTTTTTTACGCGTTAATTATGTGGTAGACGATAACAAATAAATAAGTGGCGCTACAACCTTTTCAGGTCTGGGCCTGAGATTTCTGTATATGTTTCATGATCATTTGTCAATGTAATAGGTAAGGTGATCAGCCTTTTGTGCCTGAGACACGTCTTTTTGGGTCTAAAGCAAACCGGTTTCCTCACGATGTTTTCCGTTTGAGCGACTGTTAAATGCGGACATAGAGCCATTGGTGACCAGCTGGGGATCGATCCTACGATCTCAGATATGAAAGTCTTACGCTGAAGCCACTAGGCCAACATTGCTCTATGGTAGATGATAAGAACCATTATATATACAAACAAAGCTTAAACTGTTTAATTGCCCAGGAACTTGATTATTATTATATTTAACGTTTTTGTATAAATATTACTTTTAAAAATGGCAAAAATAACTTAAAATGTTCAGTGCTCGATTATCGTAAACTGTAAAGATAAGAGCCGCTGTAAGCTTTCAAGTAATTTAGCAATTACGTCATCTGTATATTTTTGAATTTAAAATGAGCGCACGAAATCCAGCCTATAAAATAATTTTCCCTTTACATTTTCTATTTTTCAGCCAATCGCGTTTATTATATTATAAAATATTTTATTACGAAATAATGGACTTGTTTTAAAAAATGTTTCGTTATAATTTAATTCTATATATCAACCGTTTGAAAGTTTTTCGACACAGTGACCTACTTTTAAACAATGAAACGACACTCACATACGTTTGTTTTAAAATTGCTGTGTTGCTGCTATTTCTTTATAATCTAAATTTATGATTTACTTAACATTTTAATTGCATCGTAAATGTGTTTATTATAATTTGTAAAACATCGCTGGTCCTAAAATTACAATCAAATAATTAATATTAACAGCGAATATCCATTCAATTTTCTTATCTAAAGTGGTTTTAACACTGAAAATAATCACTAGTTAATAATTTTTATTTAGAAACACGATGATTACTGATTATTTATTTTTTTAACTTTTATCTTTTGTTTGTATATTTATTCGTAGAAAAAAATAAAGCGGCGATTCATCCTTTGATCTTAGACTGTGTGAATATTGGTAAGTTGTACACAAAGTCGATTTCTGAATTGAAGATAATATGTCGAAACGTTTACTGTAAGAGCAAATTAATTGCCCACATAAAATTATGACAGGATTAAGCGATGCAGGCCATATATTGATTCGTATATTTCATATTAAAACTTGTATTGTTTTTCTTTATATACCAATGTATCAATGTACCGAGCGTTGGGAAGATTTCGTAAATAACATTAATAAAATATGCTTTTAGATAGCAAAATTTGCCAAAGTAAAACTTGAAGTCTTAGGACTAGTTCAGAATATTTGAATTCAATTTTGATTGTGTTATTTTTTAGATTATAATGTATATTAAAAGATGTGGTTGTGCAGCGAGAAATGCTTTTTTACAATAAAAAATCAAATAATTCAAAAAGTTATGATTGATAATTTTATACAAACACGCATAGTTAAATTATACAAACAAAGGTTTCAGCAAATGAGAATTGATTGTGTTGAAAAGGCATTTAATCAAAATTAACGTTTGTAGCTGTTAAATATGTATCGAAACAATAAATTATGCTAGAACGAGACATTTTGATGATGAATGAATAGGAAACGTTCGTGACAGGCGTCATTAGTACGTAGATCCTTCAAAAATTAAATGAATGAATGAATGAAAAAATCTTCGTCTGCAATGACTCGTAAATAATGTAACTATTTTTGTATTTGATATAGATGTGGATGCGACATCGAAATACCATTTTTATTTCTACAGATTTCTACGAACAGTCTAACCGTTTTTAAGTGCGTTGGCGGCCTTTTAAGAAAAAAGGCCGGCAACGCACTCGCAAACTTTTAGTTCAATAAAAATAACTATCTGCTATAATAAAAAAATAGGGGTTATTTGTAGAGGGGTGAAAACTAAGGGTTGTATGTTGCATCATAAAAAAATAAAACAAACTTTATTTACTAAAAATAAAAAATAAACATTAAAAATTTCATAAGAATCGGTCGAGCCGTTTCGGAGGAGTATGGGTATGATTTTTGAATTTATAGTGCCTTACCATAGCCAAATCCGAGAGTCTCAATCGCAATTTGACCGATCACAGCAGCAGCAGACGGTGGCGCATTCATTCAGATTGTTTAGTGATAGATTAAATGCGAACTATTCAACTCCGCTGGGAATAAAAGGTACCAGGTGTCGACAACCGAGGATTCTAAATTATTTTGACATGAATTTAATATATTAATTAATTATAAATAAGGAACAATGAGCCCGAAGCACTAAAAATTAACGATCAACACTTAACAATGAACGGATCTAATGGTCAGGGTTTTAGTAGTAGTACCTGTTACTGTTATATCAGGACAGTTTCGTCGACCTCTCCTCGCGACTAAGCTGTTGCCTAGTTGCTTAGTCTTGCCTCATGTTTTTATTTACAAAGCCTTTTCCGAGTGCTATGTTGCGTAGTCTTTGTTTTATATCACTCTTTGCATCTGAAACTCGAAACAAGGCAATCTATATTTATATCCAAGTTTCAAGATAAGAAATTGAACCTCCAGAGAGTTGCCCTGGCTGGGTGTTGTGAATATGCTTAGAAGGAGTAAATAAGCCCTGGTAAGGTGTTCTAGACACAATCTTGTTATATACCAATAATTTATTATTATTAAGCCTTTATTGCTGACACCCAGTATAATTTATTTACCCTTTTTTTAGTTTTAAACCCCCCCCCCTTTTTTTCCTTTTTTTTGGCCTTTTTTTTTTTCCCGCGGCCCCCCCCGGCCCTTTTTTTTTTTTTTTTTTTTTTTTTTTTTTTTTTTTTTTTTTTTTTTTTTTTTTTTTTTTTTTTTTTTTTTTTTTTTTTCCCCCCTTTTTGTTGCTCTGTCTTCCTCTTTTTCTTTTTCCATCGTGTGGTTGCCATTCTGTAATTATTTTTGTCCATTTCAACCTGCTATCTCCCATCATGTGCCTGGTCCAGCGCCATTTCAATTGTCTTATTTTCTTTATAATAATCTCTACCAATAATAACTAATAGCAAATAATACATCTGTATACATTTAGAAGTAAATGATTACTTTATAAATAATATAGTAAAATTGTACTTGCCATTTCTGAAATCTAAGAAGAATGTCTTGGTAACAACGTATTTCTTATGTTTCGTAAATATCTCTATTGCTCATTAGATTACATTGTTACCCCGTAAGTTATTATAGTGGCTTTTAATAAAGTAAAATAAGTATAAAGCATTAACATTATACTGTAGGCAGTTGGCTCTACACTCAGAAGTTTAAAACATTACGAAGTCTTCAAAGGTAATGTGATTCCCTGTTAACAATATTCACAAAACAAGACTGCGACTAAAAATGGAAAGGATAATGCTATTCAGAAAGATCGCCCTCCAAACGTGTGTGTTTCGTTAAATCCCAGGTGTTTATACCTAAATATTGTTAGGGAGAACTGACGATTTCTCTTTACAATGTATTTTTTATTCTCTCCCAATACGCTATTGGAATGAAACACGTACGTATCAGATAGTTATAATTACCCTAAAAATCTAATACTTGAGCAGTGTTGGCCTAGTGGATTCAGCATGAGACACCGAGGTAGTAGGTTTGAGCCTAGCTGTGCACCAATGAACTTTTTGTCTATGTACGCATTGAATAAAACCAGCATGCCAAAGAGCCATGACGGCGTGTGTCAGGCACAGGAGGCTGTGTCACGAAATAGATACATAAGTCTAAGGGCTAGACTTTAATGTAGCGCTGTTTTTTTTCTAAGAATCTAAATAATAATCTAAACAGGCACGTTACATTACTTTTTGGTAATTGTAGTGACATCACTATTAAATTAATTATTAGGTGTTTAATGGAAAAAACACACTGTTATATTTATTAAAACCAACACATACGACAGGGGGCCTGAAGTCAAAACTGCTATTCCAAATTATCAATATATGTTATATATGAAGTTTTCAATAAATTTATATCATTATAAGTAACAAGTTTGTTTTATAAATATAATTTCAAATTATGACGGTTAGTAATCTAGCAGTACCGGGTATATTATAGTACCATTACGTTCGGCCTATTTTCATAACTTAATTTCCGGAGTGAGACTTAGGTCAAATTGGCTGAAAAA